ACACCTGACCCGACGCAGCTACCTGACCAGATGCAGTGACTGGAGGAGACGCAGTGGTCAGTGTGTACAGGCTCGACCCCGGCCGACGTGTAAACGTGGCCAGGTGTCGGCCTGTCCGAGCGTCCGTGCAGTGGGTCACCCGCTGACTCGCAGGAGTGAACTGGTGAACCCCCGCATCCTGTAGGTCAGCACCACTCACCAAGTTCGTAGAGAACGAGGGGAGGTAAAGACCAGACAGGGTGCCAGAGGGGGCCGCCGGACACGGGAGGACAGTGGAGAAGTGAGCAAGGACAGGACCCCCAGAGGGGTCTGCCAGAGAGACTGCAACTGGCCGGCCAAGCGGCGTGAGTGTGGTGCGGTCTCGAAAGAAGGAGCGAGAAGCCCCCGAGTCAAGGGTGAAGGTGTGGGAGGCCGAAGCCGACGCAGTACCTGAGAGAGCAGACTCACCAGCACCTGAGGGAGCAGACACACGAGCACCTAGAGCAGCAGCCTCGCTAGCACCTAGAGCAGCAGCCTCACCAGTACCTAGAGCAGCAGTCTCAATGCCCGGGTCGGGCGGAAAACACCGGTAACAGTCACCCTCATCACTAATAGTCACAGCATACATGGCAGCAAGAATAGCATCAAAGTCAAGGTCAAAGACAGCTACACCCGCCCTAGACAGCTCGCCCCAGCGGGGGATCTCAGTGGCCTCAGGGAACTGGTGACACCAAGCGTCCGTCAGGCGGCCAAAGCAGCGCTGGGTGGAGTGCGCACCCCCACACTGCTCACCCGCGCGGTCGCCGGTGCGTAGGACGTAGGTGCACGGACCAGTACCCCCACCCCGCTGGCGTGCAGCCTACCACTCACGGAGCTGCGGAGGGGGGGGGATGTCACGAGTGCGCTGCTGCCGCTGCTGCTGCTGCTGCTGGCGCTGACCACCACCGGAGCCGACCCTCTGCGCAGCGCCACCCCGACCAGCTCCACCTCCTCCGCCGCCGCCTCCTCCACCGCCGCCACCTCCGCCACCTCCGCTCCCACCGCCACCGCCGCCGCCGCCTCCGCCTCCACTGCCGCCACCGACACCTCCACCCCCGCCACCACTCCCACCACCACCCCCACCCCCTCCACTGCCTCCACCGCCACCTCCGCCACCCCCGCCAACCCCTCCAGCACCCTTGCCCCCCTTGCCCTTGCCGGTGCGGCGTCTCCCGCTCGGGGCAGACGCAGCGCCAACCGACTCGAAACCAACGAGGTCGGCCGCAGCAGCAGAGGCAACAGAGGGCAAAAGGGGGGAGGGGGAACACCCCTCAAAGACGGGGGTGCGAGGGTCACCACGAGAGGCTCCTACAGCGACTATGCTCTTCTCTGCTGCTAGGAGGGCCTTCTCGAGGAGGTCAACGGTGAGAGTGGTGGGGCAAACTGAGAGGAAGTGGTCCCTGACTACGCGAAGGGAGTCAGGGAGCCAGGTGACTATGTAGTAGAGGGTGATGTACATGGGGGGGGGGTTCTTGGCGCAGAATTCAGCAGGAAGCGCAGCGCGGTAGCGAGTGTCACTAGTGCGGAGGTGCGTAATGAGGTCAGCGACTGTGGGAAAGGCAGCAAGGTCAGGGAAGAGGTACGGTAGCATGAGGCGGCTCAGTGCAGCAGTGGCAGGGGAGGAGTAGCGCGCAACTACAGCGTCGTACAAGGTGTGAGCACTCTTGTACTGGCTAAAGTGCGCACGCTCAGAGGTAGGCAGGTGGCGACGCACAGCAAGACGTGCAGCAGCATCGCGTGTGGCCCACTGTGAGCGAACAGTGGCGTCGGCATCAGCAGCAGGGGCAGGAGAGGCACCAGAGGTGAGGTCAAAGAGGGAGAGACCGTCTGCCCTATCGCATTGTAGGAAAAGCTGCAGGTCATCTACCCAGACGTCAAAGTCAATGGTCCGACCCTCAGCGTCAAAAGCGAGGACACTAGGGGTAGCCATGACAGCAGTGGACTAGCAGCGCGAACAGTAGGGTAAGGGCAGTGCAGTGACAGAGGCGCTGCTCTTACCGGACAGGGCGGCTCGGGCGGCTCGGCGGCTCGGCGGGTCGGCAACTAGGCGGCTCGGGCGGCTCGGGCGGCTCGGCGGTACGGCGGCTCGGCAGCAACTGCGGCTCGGCGACTCGGCGACTCGGGCGGCTCGGGCGGCTCGGCGGTACGGCGGTTCGGCAGCAACTGCAGCTCGGCGGCTCGGCGACCTGGCGGCTCGGGCGGCTCAGGTGGCGCGGCGGCTCGGGCGGCTCGGGTGGATCGGGCGGCTCGGCAGTAGCTCGGCGGCGCCGGGGGCTCGGTGGTGACGGCGGGGCCGCGTGGGGACGGCGGCGGGGCCAGTAGAGGCGGCGCCGGGGCCGGGAAGGGCAGCTCCGGGGCCGCAGGGGTAGGCGACGGGGCCAGCAGAGGCGGCGCCGAGGCAGGGAAGGGCGGCGCCGGGGCCGCAGGGGTAGGCGACGGGGCCGCGAGGGTGGCTAGGAGGGGGGGGGTCGCGAGGGCGGCTTGAAGAGGCCGCGAGGGCGGCTAGAAAGGGCCGCGAGGGCGGCTAGAAAGGGCCGCGAGGGCGGCGTGAAAGGGCCGCGAGGGCGGCGTGACACGAAGGAGCCGCGAGGGCGGCGGATCGGGGCCGCGAGGGCGGCGCGACGCGGCCGCTAGGGCGGCGCGACGTGAAGGGGCCGCGAGGGCGACGCGACGGGGCCGCAAGCGCGACGCGACGGGGCCGCTAAGGCGGCGCGACAGGGTCGAGAGAGGGGAGCGCGACTCGGGCAGTGGAGAGCGCGCTCCGGGCAGGAAAAAAATGTGGTGGGCCCTAGGAACAGTTCCCACAGGGGAACCTGCTCGATACCATGAGAAACTGAACGAGAATGAATTGACTAAGGGAAAGTTGGGTACAAATGTAAACCCTAGAAAACTGTACCCCATATGTGCTACCCCACTATAGCCTACAGTAGCTATGTCATATAAATCTGACAATATTCTGACATGCTCCAGCTGTATTTGCCAGCCACTTTCGACGAGTGGCTGTCTGAACCAGACACACCCAAGGCTAAGCGAATCGATGCTCCGCCGACTGCACCGCGGACACCAAAAAATAAAATTTACAATTAAAATTAAAATCTAACCACTGCTTGCTTGTATGCAGATGTCGTGGTCGGCTGCCAAGCTAACGGGTGGATGGAGGCCTCGGGCGTCATCGAGTGGCTCGCCTCAGGCGTGGTGCCGTTCCTGAAACCGAAGTTCGGATTGCAGAGCCGGAGCGCCATGCTGGTGCTCGACTCCTATCGTGGTCACTTGACACCCAAAGTCAAGGCGAAATTCGCGGAACTCAACATCGTGCTGGCGGTCATCCCGGCGGGATGCACGGCAGACTTGCAGCCGCTCGATGTGTCGGTCAACAAAAGCTTCAAGGCGAGTGTTCGGCAGCAGTACCAGACCTGGTTCGAGCAGGACGGCATGAACATCCTGACGCCCGCAGGTACGCAAAGGGTTCTCCCGTGACCGCTTCGTCTGCTTGTCTGCCTGCTTGTGGACTCACGTGTTTCCCACCCCCGTGTCTGTGGTGCAAGGAACATCAAGAAACCACCTCCGGAGGTGGTACTCAAGTGGATTTCACGGGCGTGGAAAGCTGTGCCCGCCGACCTGATTAAGAAAGCGTTCCTCACCTGCGGCATCAGCAATGCCCTTGACGGGAGTGAAGACGGACTGATGCTGGCGCACCGGAGAGGTCAGCTGTCCCACGAGGTAGAGGTAGATGATGACGTGCAAGCAGACGGGTTCTTTGGCAACAACTCCACGGACGGAGCCTGAATCGGACGAGGAGTAGGCCTTAGGCTAGACTAATCTTGAAAATGGTGTGTAGGCTAGTATTCAAGTTTAATGTATGTGACTGGAAAATTTTAGTTGAAATTGTTAGCTAGAGAATTGTAGCTTGGTTGTAGGTTGTTAATAAAGTGAAAAATTCCAATATAAATTCTTGTTATACAGCAAGGGTGCGCTTATAAATAAGTAACGATTTTTTAGAGGGCGCGCTTCTAATTGAGGATCGGCCATAAGCGCATTGCTCCAGATAGAAGCGCATGCGCTTAACATAGGCCTGCGGTTATATCCGGGGCGATACGGTATATGGAGGCAACCTTATAGAGCGAAAGAAAGAAAGAAAGAAAATATGAAAGAAAGAAAGAAGACAAGCATGCAGGCGCCCATAACTTCATGCAGTTTGTGTTGCGGAGAGAATAGGGGATCCAAACGATTCGCCGTTACTTAGGGTCCGCTTGTGCAAGCTGCGCCTAGGCACTACCACAAATAGAGGACGCGCCTTTCTCCCCCCTCTTCTCCCTTGGAGATCCCCCTTTCCAGAAGCTTCCGACCCGCTGGGAAGTTCAGCTGTTTCAAAATGGCCGCGAACCTGGTCGGAGCTCACGCTCTTCACAGGAAGCTTGGAAGAAGGAAGATTCCAGGAAGGCCTGGAAGACAATGAAAATGCTGCAGCAATCACAGCAGCACCAGCAGCCGTTGCAGCACAGGCAGCAGCACCGCCAGCAGCAGCACCAGCTGCATCTGCTGGGGCCGGTGTTCCCTGACTAGACTCAGCAGCTTCACCAGCGATCTTATCAAATATATTTCCTGCCGGCCTTCCCATGGCACCTGCAGCCACAGCAGCACGGATACCAACAGATCGGATTTCAGCAGCACGCATGTCGGCAGAGGTGCCTGCATGCCACGATGCCCGTCGCACAATGGGCTCGTAACCGCCTCCTTCTGGTAATGTAGGTCCCCCCCCAGATGTAGCACCGGCAGCGGCAGGTGAGGCATCTGGGTCAAGGTTCCACGACACCCGCTTGCCGGACCCTGGAGATGCTGCCGTGGTGCTGGCAGACTTCAAGATGGAACGGCGCGTACAAGGGGAGGCAAATCTAGGAGAAACCGCGGTGGTGCTGGCTGACTTTAAGCTGGATGGCCGAGCAAAGGGGGAGTTGAATCTTGGGGAAGAAGCGGTGGAGGTTCTACCACCTGATTGTACACTGGCACGGCGAGCAGCGGGGGATGGAGGCGCGGTGGAGGAGTGCGAGAGAGTGAGAGGAGGGGATTGAGACAAAGGAGTGAGAGGAGGGGACAGGGGCAAGGGAGTGAGAGGGGATTGAGATGAGGGAGGGAAAGGAGGGGATCGAGATGAGGGAGGGAGAGGAGGGGATTGAGATGGAGTGAAGGGAGGGGATTGAGTTGAGAAAGTGAGATGAGGAGATCGATATGAAGGAGTGAGAGGAGGGGATCGAGATGAGGGAATGAGCGGAGGGGATCGAGATGAGGGAGTGAAAGGAGGGGATCGAGATGAGGGAGTGAAAGGAGTGGATCGAGATGAGGGAGTGAAAGGAGGGGATCGAGATGAGGGAGTGAAAGGAGGGGATCGAGATGAGGGAGTGAGAGGAGGGGATCGAGATGAGGGAGTGAGAGGAGGGGATCGAGATGAGGGAGTGAGAGGAGGGGATCGAGATGAGGGAGTGAGAGGAGGGGATCGAGATGAGGGAGTGAGAGGAGGAGATCGAGATGAGGGAGTGAGAGGAGGGGATCGAGATGAGGGGGTGAGAGGAGGAGATCGAGATGAGGGAGTGAGAGGAGCGGATCGAGATGAGGGAGTGAGAGGAGGGGATCGAGGAGGAAGGCGTAACTTTAGAGTCAACCCAGACAGAGAGTGAGAGGGGCTGAGAAGAGAGGAATGAGGTGGGTGTGTAAAAGGCCGTGCTACACTTCTTGCTACACTTCTTGCTACATTTCCTGCCACGGCATGCTTGTTTGCAGCAACAGCAGCAGCTGTAGCCGCAACTCCCGTAACAACTTGTGTCTTAACAGCTTCCGCCGCTGCTGCCGCTGCTGCTGCAACCTTAGCAGCAGAAACCGCAAGTCGGCCAGAAGACTCAGAGTTGTGATGACAGTCGATATTCTTGATCATCGAAGTAAAGTCGTGGCTGCGCCTGTGCCTGTGCCTGTGCTTGCTCGTTTCTCTCCTTGCAACACCGTCCTTCATTCCGCCTCCTCCCTCTTCCCCTCCCCGTTCTTCTCCTTTTCCTCCTCCTCGCCCTTCTCCATTCCCTCCCAGCCTACCAGCGGACACCAGCCCCGGAAGTCCATAGCTCTCGGGAGGAGAAATCAGCCTCCACACGCCCGTGGCGCTGATATCCGAATCGGATCTGCTTTGGCGGATTAGATACGCCGCCCGGCTGGAGCGTGCGGCCTTAGACGGTAACGAAGCTGCCTTATACGAGGCCGAATGTGAGGGAGAAGAAGAGGGAGAGGAAGAGGGAGAAGAAGAGGGAGAAGACGGAGAGGAAGAGAAGGACGAAGAGGGAACCGGCAGAGCACTGGACGTATGACGCGATATTACAGGGCTGCGGAAAAGCCTATCCTGTCGCTCCTCCTCCTCCTGCTGCTGCTGCTGCTGCTGCTGCTGCTGCTGCTGCTGCTGCTGCTGCTGCTGCTGCTGCTGCTGCTGCTGCTGCTGCTGCTGCTGCTGCTGCTGCTGCTGCTGCTGCTGCTGTTGCTGCTGCTGCTTCCCCAGCAGGTGCGAGCCGTCATGGTGTTTCTCGGGCAGGTGAGAGCTGCCATGGCCTTTTTCGGGCAGGTGCGAGCTGCCATGGTGGCGATTCTCCAAGCGCTTGAGAGCAGGTGGGCGCAGAGTGGGGCAGAGGATTCGCCACGTGCTGTGCGCATACAGCACTGCTTGCACCGCTTCCCTCGCTTGCTCCCTCTGCTCTGCTGCTGTCTCCGTCTCCTCAGCCTCCCAGGCTTGCCTTGCTGCTTTCTCCACTTGCTCCTTCTCATCTGCTTCCCTTGCAGTCTTACCCCATTCCTCCTCCTCCGCTTCCTCCACTCCTCTCTTCTCGCGTTCAATCCTTGAATCTCGACCTTTGATTCTTGAGATCCTTCTCAGCGATCCTCCTCCACCTCCGCTTCCGCCGCCCCACGCTGCCCTCTCCTCGCTCTTGATTCTCGACTCTTGAAGTCCGGATTGACTTTCGCCCGCCTCTCTGTTTTCTGCTTCCGCGGGCGAGGGCGATGGGAAGGCGTCAAAGCAGAGATTGGGGGAGCGACCTGCGGGGATGAGGGAGAGCGGGGAGAGAGCAAGGAGATGGGGAGAGGGTGGAGTGGAGGAGAAAGAGGTGGGGGAATGGGAGGGAAGGTGGAGGGGGAGGGGGACACGAGGCGAAGCGAAGGGGAAGGAGGAGGGGGAAGGGGAGGGGGAGGGGGAACGGGGAGGGGAGGTGAAGGAGGTGTTGAACTTAGTACTGCTAGCAATTGTTTTCAGTTTACGTCCACGTCTTCTTGCGTCTTGTCCAATCATCATCAAGACACGAGATCGCATAAAGGAACGGGGTTGGCTCTTCCATAAATGTCGAGCAAGGGGAAACGCGGAGAAACGCGTGAAAGGATTGCGTACGACAGACGCGAGATGGAGAGATTATGGAGGGGAAGGAGAACAAAAGGATAGCGGGCAAGGAGAATAAGTGGGAGCAAGGAGGACAAGGAGGGAGCAAGGAGCAAGAAAGAGAAGCAGCAAAGGGTGGGATGCAGGAGAAAAAAGATATTTAACGGGCAGGGGAGGTGAGTGAGGAGGGAGGGAACTAGGGGAGTGGGAGAGAAGGAGGATTGGCAAAGTGACGAGGGGAGGATGGCTGGGGATGGACGAAGGAACCAGATTGGCATAGTACCTGGTCCCACTATTTCGCCAAAGGACTCCGACTTTTTCGCCCACTCGCGAACGCGATCCAACAGATCGCGCATGGAAAGTTTCAGCTGCCCGCTCGTCACCAGCTCGTCGTCCGCTGCGATGGTTACAATCCTCCACGAAATCGGCATGCTGTTTCGCCCAGATCCCAGCAGTCGCAGGGGCATCGCCAGCAGCGGAAAAACGTCGTACACGTCGCCCGGGTCGCGCGCCTGCGACCCGATCTCCAGCGCCTCCAGCGGCGCATTGTCGCACGCCGTCAACAGAGAATCTGTGAGTTCAATATCCGGCGACTCGTCCTGGCGGCCGTCCGAGCCGCCAGAATCGCCATTCGCGTCCCAGCGGGAGAACATCGACATGGAACGCGACGCGAGCACGCACGTCTGCGGCAGGATACCCAGATTCCACGGCGACGCTAGTAGGAGCGCCGACGACGGCGACGTCTGCACCTTGGTAAGACTGCCGTCCAGGGCCATTACGACCATCCGCTTCTCCAACAGGAAAAGCGGGTCATCGCGGCGCCGAAGCTTTCGGCTCCCGCAATCGGCGGAGGAGGATTTCTTGGCGGAACGGCAGACGAAGGAGAAGGCGGAGGTGGGGAAGGGGGAAACGCTGGGGTGGCGCGGCGGGGAGGAGGAGCCGCTAGCGGGAGAAGGGGGAGGCGGAACGAGGAGGATGTCGTGCCAGATGGAGGACACGTGGCCAGCGTTGATTAGCGGGAGAAGGCTGGTGGACGATCCGATGGTCCGAGTCCGCATCATGATGCTGTAACTACTACTATCAGTTACAGTGAGGCAAGGTCTGCCGCAGTGAAAGAGTGATGCGATGATATGCGGTTGGAATCTAAGGCAGGGGCAGGTGTGCTCAGATACGATGATGGACATGGAGGCTTCACGCCAGGGCTTCTCAATTTCAGAGGCTTCTGAGAAGGAGAAATAGTAGCAGCGTCTCGTGTTGGTACGATGAATTCATCCCCAGTCGCCGGATGTGAAAACGCTGGGATGGGATGGGAGCAGCACTGCTCGCAGTTGTCCTTCCGCAAACCTGCAAGCAGGGTCTGAATACGACGTACGTTGACCGACAAATCCGACATCGGAATCTTTCGCTATTCGTTTCCTGTCTGGCGCTCCCGCAAAGCAAAGCACGCGCGTCCCGGCCTGAGGAGCCATGTGATGACATCAGCCAACGGAAACTCTCCTCTGCACTGGGCTCCCTAGTGTAGCGTAAGGCGGCTGTGCGACTGAGCAACTCGTGAGGCAACAGTGTTAGCGAGTTGTCGGGGTGGTCCTAAAGATTATCGTGCGAGTGCATGGCATGCTCAGATCAATTATGTCATAACTAATGTCTCGGAAGGCGACTTGGGCATTGAAGGTCTAAGCAGGTATGGCTGGGAGGTGGGGATAATTTTGTAGGTTGGGAAAATGGGCACGCTTGGAACATGGGTTTCCGTAGTTGTCTTGGAGCTCCGAACCAGATGAACGAACTGAAACCGAACCTACGGGTGAACGTACCTGGTGACCTGTTTGCTGCAACAAGCCCCAAACCAAAGCTCGGCTAGGCTCGCACGATTTTCAAAACATGAATCAGCCAAAGTGGTCCCAAGCAGCCACCTTTTTCCTGCCGCCCGGCCTCAGCGAGATTTGGGTAGAAAAAAGCAAGATTCACCGGCGTTATGTTTTGTTACGGGTGCAAAGCGAGAATTGCACTATCGAAGCAAACCAGTACATTCAGAGAAGGCATGAGCTAGGAATATATAGCGAAGCTAGAGTGGTAACGGTAACGCGAGAAATGGGGGTGCGCTACGGGCCTAGCGCCGAGGTTGGGAAATGTCGAGGCGGAGGACCGGAGCGCGGGTTACCAACCGAACCGTGAGGTTGGGTTGCGAGGTGTACCGTGGCGGGAACAGTGGTCGAGGCGAGTGTCGCGAGTGGGTAACGTTTTACTGTGGGGTGCTGGTGGCGGGAATAGTCATGTACGCGGTAAGCAGGGGGCGCGAAGTAAGGAAAATGAATTTTCCTTACACTACCCCCCTCCCCAAGGAGGCCCTCCTTACGAGAGTGCGTGTAAGTCTCGGAAATTTCGGCTGCGCAGATAGTCGGTGAGGACGGGGTGGTTTCGATTCTGTCCAGGGGCACCCAGTTGTCTTCGGTTGGCGTGCAGTCCTTCCAGCGGATCAGAAATTCGATCATGCGGGCTCCACGTGGGTCACATATTTTTTCGGGTGTGATGATTGGCTCTGTCGGTGGTCGTGTCATGCTGGCGGGGCGGTTGCGAGGTAGTTGGCTGGTGGATGGGACGTACGGGCGAAGCAGACTGACGTGGAACGACGGCCTGACGTACAGAGGAGGAGGTGGGCGGTAACAGGGGTGATAATGTGGCTGATGCGAAATGGCCCGCAATATCGGAGGCGGAGTTTCGGAGTGATGGGTAGGCGGAGGTTTTGAGTGTCGAGTAATACCAGGTCGTCGGGTTGGTAAGTGACGGGGTGGCGGTCGCGATCGGCGTTGCGTTTAGCGATGATGTTGGATTTTTTTATTGCATCTGCTGCTTGGGTCCGTGCTGCCTGTAAAATCTCTGCGAACTGTTGCGCACGTGGTACTGGGTTGTCGGGATTCGGCGTCATGGGTACCGTGGGGTTTTGTCCGTAGTTGAGGTAGAACGGCGACTGTTGTGTCGTGGCTGACGTGTAGTTGTTATACGCGATCTCTATGAGTGACAGCTGCTGTTCCCATGTTGCCGGGTCGTCGCACGTGGCTCGAATCAACTGTTCCATGGTTTGATTTGTCCGTTCTGTCTGTCCGCCGGTTTCGGGGTGGTATGATGAACTTAATTGTAGTCGCGTGTCAAACTGCTGCCATAGGTTCCGCCGGAAGTTGCTGGTGAATTTCGTGTCGCGATTGCTGATGATTGCTGCTGGTATCCCGTGCAGCCGAACGACGGTGGAGATGAAGAGTCGGGCTGTTTCTTCGGCTGTGATTGATTTCTTGCAGGCTGCGAAATTTGCCATCTTCGTCAGCCGATCGACGACGACAAGGATCGCGTCGTTCCCACTTGCTCCGGCCGGTAACCACGTGACGAAGTCCATTGTCACCTGCTGCCAAGCACGCTCTGGGGGTTGTATCGGCTGCAACTGTCCTGCTGGTCGCTGTCGTGACGACTTCATGAGCTGGCAGGTGGGACACGATGCCACGTGTCGTTGCTCGTCGGATAGCATCTCGGGCCAGTAATAATATCGCTGCAGCTGCTGCCGTGTTTTTTCTACTCCGAAGTGTCATGAGTGAGAAGAAACAAGGAATGGATGAACTATGAATGAATTGGGTACAAGTACTAACCCTAATTGGGTTGTACCCCTTATGGGCTACCCCACTATAGCCTACACAATATGCATGAGCTATAATGTTCTGACACACCCCCATAGGCAAAGTGGGGGAGAACAAGGGGTCACAAGACCAGTCAAGTAAAGCAAAGCAAAGCAAGCTCAGGGTGGATCACAAAGTCACCACACATTCCGAGCACAAGTTCAAGGCCACAAGGCCAGTTCACATGTAGGAGTACATATATATAAAAAGGCTAGACAAACAAGAGCAGGTATATATATATGTAACAGTACAAGCACGGTCAAGAGGTGAGCAAGTGAGGCAAGGTAGGCACAAGGCCCAGCTGAGTACAGAAGCGCTGATGGTCACAAGGCGCAAGCGCCTTGGTGAAGATATCAGCAGTGTTGGCCTCAGAGGCCACGTACGCAAGACGCAGCTGACCACGCTGCTGCAGCTCACGAGCAAGAAAGTAGCGGAGAGCAATGTGCTTCGTTCTGTGCTCCAGTCGCTGCTCCCGACACAAGGCCAGCATGGCCTTGTTGTCTACGTACAGCACTGGAGGAGAACGAGGCGGCTCTCCGAGGTCAGTCAGCAGGTAGGTGAGCCAGCGCAGCTCCTGTGCAGCCATGGCTCCTGCGTAGATCTCAGCCTCACAACTGGAGCCGAGAACAGAAGACGAGCGAGTAGCCCGCCACGAAACAGAGCCGGAACCAAGGCTGAAGGTGTAACCCTGTGACGACCGCTGCGTAGCCTGGTCGTCAGCCCAAGAAGCGTCTGCGTGTCCAGTAAGGACCACTGGACTCTGCCCTCCAAGCACAAGCCCCATGCCCGACGTACTGCACAAGTAGCGCAACACCCTCTTCGCTGCAGCCATGTGCTCCGGTCTGTGTCTCCCAGGAGCAACATAGCGTGCGAGAATGCTAAGAGGGTATGCAAGGTCAGGTCGTGTGCAGGTCATCAGGTACATGAGGCAGCCAACAAGCTCTGGGTACGGGCCACTCGACTCTACGGACTCATCCGAAGGCAGAGCTGAGAGCGAGTGGCGAGTAGGCAGAGGAGTGGCCTGAGGCGAGGAGTACGTGAAGCCGAAGCGCTGAAGGACCTGCTGCACCATGTGTGACTGAGTCAGGGTAATGGTGCGGCGTGCTCTGTCCCGAGTGATCTGCAAGCCAAGGTAGCTGCGCAGTTCACCCAGGTCAGTGCACGTGTGTCTCTTCTGCAGCTCGGACTTCACGTGGGCGAGTCCAGCAGTGTCAGCTGTGGCAAAGACCAAGTCGTCGACGTACACGAGGATGTAGAACGGCGGCAAAGAAGTGTCGGTGCGCAGAAACAGCGACGGGTCGGCAGTAGAGGGAGCAAACCCAAGAGCCGCAAGTGTAGTCCTCAGTGTGTCGTGCCACTCACGTGGTGCCTGACGGAGACCGTAGACTGGCCGCCGTAGGCTCCACTGGGTGCCAGGAGGAAAAGACCCAGTGAAACCAGGTGGGCGACGCAGCCAGATCTCCTCGTGCAGGCTGCCCTGCAAGAAAGCAGTGCTGAAGTCAAGAGAGTGTAGCTCGTAGTCACGGTGAGCAGCTACGTGCAGCAGTACCCGAAGAGTGGTCATCTTCGGGGTGGGAGAGAAGGTCTGAAAGTAGTCAACTGCCTGCCGCTGACTGAAGCCTCGAGCCACGTAACGCGCCTTGAAGACAGGCGGAGAACCCGGCGGCCGCTTCACCCTGAAAATCCACATGCCACTGACGATGTTCGCCCCAGGAGGGGGAACAGCGTCAACGTAGGTGCCTGTGGACTTCCAGGAAGCCATCTCTGCGTCCATAGCTGCCTGCCACTGAGAGGAGTAGGGACCCTCTATCGCCTCCGCGTAAGAGCGCGGAGTCGGGATGTCAAGTGCATCCGGGTCTCCCTCAGGGGTAAGCAGTACGGACACGAGATGAGGTGAAGCAGCGGCCAAGCACTGGAACTCCTCCTGCCTGTCCTCAAGGACGTCCGTGCCAAGGGCACACTCACCCCCGACGGACGGAGGACAGACAGACTCAGACTCAGCAACAAGACTGGCGACGTAGTCTAGGCGACAGCGAGCAGCAAAGTCGACGAGCTCAGCAACTAGGGCAGACGCAGCAGTGGACTCAAAGGAAGGGTCAGTGACAACAGTAGCAAGGAGACGCGTG